CCTTTCCTTTCAGAGAGTGATCCTTGGTTGATCTGCAATGGCATACTAAATAATTAATCTTACTGTGTGCCCCAAATGGCACCCTATTCACAATATAAGGCACTACCTTTCACCAGAAAAGGCCCTGGTCTATAGGCCCTGGTCAAAAGTATTGCACTACATAGGGAATAGGGTGCCATTTGGGACGTACACAGTCTTTCTAAACTCAAATCAAATTGTATTTGTCACATGCTTCGTAAACAACGTGTAGACTAACATTACGGGCCCTTCCCAACAATGCAGAGTGAAAAATATTAAAATAATGATAACTTGACTATATACATGGGGTACCAGTACTGAGTCGATGTGCAGGGGTATGAGGTAATTGAGGTAATACATATAGGTAGGGATAAAGTGACTAGGCAACAGGATAGATAATAAACAGAAGCAGCAGCGTATGTGACGAGTCAAAAGAGTTAGTGCAAAAAGGGTCAATGCAGATAGTCCGGGTAGCTATTTTGAAAACTATTTAGTAGTCTTATGGTTTGGGGGTAGAAGCTTTTCAGGGTCCTGTTGGTTCCAGACATCGGTACCGTTTGCCGTGCGGTAGCAGAGAGAACAGTCTATTACTTGGGTGGCTGGAGTCTTTGACAATTTTTAGGGCCTTCCTCTGACACCGCCTGGTATAGAGGTCCTGGATGGCAGGGTACTCGGCCCCAGTGAAGTACTGGGCTGTACACACTACCCTCTGTAGCGCCTTGCAGTCGGATGCCAACCAGTTGCCATACGAAGCGGTGATGCAGCCAGTCAAGATGCTCTCAATGGTGCAGCTGTATAACTTTTTGAGGATCTGAGGGCCCATGCCAAATCTTTTCAGCCTCCTGAGGGGGAAGAGAGACGTTGTCATGCCTTCTTCATGACTGTGTTGGTGTGTGTGGACCATGTTAATTCCTTATTGACATGGACACAGAGGAACTTGTAGATCTCGACCCACTACAGCCCCGTTGATGTGGATGGGACGTGCTCGGCCCTCCTTTTCCTGTAGTCCATGATCAGCTCCTTTGTCTTGATGACGTAGAGGGAGAGGTTGTTCTGACCTCCCTATAGGCTGTCTCATCGTCGTTGGTGATCAGGTCTACCACTGTTGTGTCGTCAGCAAACTTAATGAGGTGTTGGAGTTGAGCGCAGCCATGCAGTTGTGGGTGTACAGGGAGTACAGGAGGGGACTAAGCACGCACCCCTGAGTGGCCCCCGTGTTGATGGTCAGCGTAGCGGATGTGTTGTTGCCTACCGTCACCACCTGGGGGCGGCCCATCAGGAAGTCCAGGATCCAGTTGCAGAGGGAGGTGTTCAGTCCCAGGGTCCTGATCTTAGTGATGAGCTTGGAGGGCACTATGGTGTTGAACGCTGAGCTGTAGTCAATGAACAGCTCTGGGGGAGAGTATGGAGCAGCATACAGTAGCCCCCTCACAAAGCCCAGTGTGTTCCATCTGATGGTAATAATCTGGCTTCACCCTTGACATGGCAGAGTATGGCAGGATCCCTTGATGGAGCTAGAATTCGCATAATGTCTTATCTGTCAAATCCATCAACATAATGAAGTTCCATTTTTATTAATTTCACAATGAGACATATAGCTGATTATTTGAAGGACAGAAGACTCCCACGTACACTTTGTCAAATTCCAGATGTCAAGCCATAATTAATTGTACACTCCAGCTGAGCTCCTTGGTGTAGACGGACAGAATAAGGCAGAATCGTTTGCATATCTGGTTTAACCATGTTGGCTATCTCTTCTTTGTTTAAGTGGCCCAAAAAAACGTTTATATTTACAGGGCCCATATTAGGACAGCAGGATTTTGTTTTCTGCTGAGATTGAGGCTGTCCTATTATGGACACAATATACATTTTAAACGTAACATATATCGACAAGCCTGAATTTAGACTTACATTAACACAGATATCTTCTGTGAAAGTTCACCGTCTGTAAATTTTCTTTGAGAATTTCTTGTGCTGCATTTTGGGGTTTGCTTTGAAAATTCATCACGAAAAATTGAGAAATAATGTGAAAAACATGTTGAATATTTCATAGAGTTGCCGATACTCTGCTAATGTATCCAAACGCTGCAGTGACAATGAATTTTATTGGATTCCCTGCTCATTGATATTCTATTGAGGTTTGCTTATTTTATCCAGGGGAGATCATTACATTGTAATAGATTGATCCCGTTGGACAGTTTAAAGGCCCAATGCAGACGTTTTTATATCAATATCAAATCATTTCTGGTAACAATTAAGTACATTACTGTAATAGATTTCCATTAAAATGGGCAAAAATTGCTTTTTATCTCAAGCAGGAATTTTGCTAGGAGTGTCTGGGAGTGGTCTGAGTGGGGAGGGGGAAACTGAAAACTAGCTGTTATTAGCAGAGAGGTTTGGAACTCTCTTTGTTATTGGTCTTTAAACCAATTTACCGCATGGTGATGTCACCATGGAAAGCCCAAACTCCAGCCCATGCAAACCTGCTGATTAGAAGGTCCTGTGTAGATTGTATTTTCAACCAGCAACTATCAGGAATAACACTGATCACATTTGTTCACACTTTTACAATATTAGTTTCATCAGCTGTTTTACAATATGATACAAACACAGGAAAAACTTATTTTTGCCTGCACTGGGCCTTTTAACAGACCCTATCAGGCTCTAGCATGTTGCTATGGAAATCGCAGGTAGTCAAAGTAACTTCTTAGTCAAAGTTAGACTAAAGGCAGTGAGTTTTAACTGCAATTGTTACACCACATTAAATATGCAGAACTCATCAGAACGACCAGAATCTAGCCTTGTTATGTGTCACATCATTAGCAAGCTGAAGTTCTTTCTCTTCTCTGACATTCTCTGTGGTCAATTACTGCACATTGTCTTCTCCCCTGAATCATTTTAAGACACTTCCCTTTGTGAAGTTTTAAGCTGGAAAAGCCATACCAGGCTGATTGTATAGAGACAGAGAAGGTATGCATAATTCATACAAGCTCAATTAGTCAATGTCAACCAAACGTGCCTGGGGAATGTTACAAAAAATAAAGGTAAAAATACAGGTTTAAAGATTGGTTTAAAAAGCAATTGTCATTATACTAAATTCATATCACAGTATGGTCACTATTAGATTCAAACACAACTGTCCCATGTACAGAATTGTCTTAGGACTTCATTCCTATAACGATGTAATATCCATACAATGCTGTCTCAGATATTAGGGGAGTTGAAAGGAGTGGGTTGCATGTGTAATCAGATCCCTACTCTGATGTTTCACAAATTTCATCCACCTGACTGACTTTCCTTTACCTGGAGAGTGGAGGTTATACAACCAAAATGATGATCAAAACCATTCTTTCTTCCAAAGCAGTCTTATGTAAGACCATTTTTATTTTACACTCAATTGAACACATCATATTTCCTGCCAAAGCATTAAGCCTCTTTAATAAATAACCCTATTAGTATTTCAACACTCAGATTTGCATTATTTGTTATAATCTCATTGCATCTAAATAGACTATTACTTCTAGGATTTTTCCTTTCTGTAGATATACCTAAGATTAAACCTAAGATTAGTTCCAGTGTGTCTCTGCTCATTTTGATCCCCCAATAGTCTTGTTACTTTGAATAAGATTGCGTCTCAAATGGCACCCTATTCCCTATATAGTGCACTACTTTTTACCAGAGCCCTATAGGCCCTAGTCAAAACGAGTACACTATATAGGGAATAGGGTGCCATTTGGGACGCAGCCCCAGCTATTGTTAATGTTAAAACAGAAGGCTGAGCAAAATCCATTTTTACAATCAGCCACTTCGATTGATCTCCTCACTTATGGTGGGGGAAATGATAGGTTGACCTTCATGAGAGATAAATGTGCCTATGAATGTTGTATTACCCATTGGCCAACAGTGACTACAGCTGCACCCTAGCCATGATCTTTATAAAACGCTGTGTTCACAGAGCCAAGGTACACTCAAGACAAAGAGCAGAGTTTGTGTATACATTGATTGTAGAAAACAGTCTGTTTTTCCTCCAGGCACATATGTACAATAGCGAGCTCTGATGCGCACACACACACACACACACACACACACACAAACACACACACACATACACATACAATCATATACACACACAGAGTTTATGTTATGTTGACATGTGCTCCATTCAGTCAGAATGCCAAGAGCTTTTCTCATCCATATGTGCTCAGTGGTGTGTTTTCATTTGGAAATGTAATGTTCTCAACAAAATGCCAGTGCCACACAATGATTCTTCTTTCATCCTTCATTAAACTAAACCTGGTTGCATGTTAGCTGGGTATCATGCACTACTTTAAATCCAAAAGCACAAAACACACTCCTGTTGGTCTCATTTCCTTTTGGCCAATTTCTCTATCTAGAGATGGATCAAATGTACCCATCCTCTTCATCTTCGCTGATTCCGTGAGCCAAGCCCTCAGTGAACTAAGCAATGCTATGGCGTGCTTGATCACCCCCGCATACAGTATCTGGTCCAGTAATTGAAACTCCCAAAGTTCCACCAGGATAAACAGTTGGTCAGGGCATGATTCAACTGCTTTGCGTCTGGACTTCTGCCTAACATTCAGCTCTTAAAGCCACAATGCTTAATTTGTTTTTCAGTCAATGGCAGCCCCACCACTTGGTTTCCTATCAAGCTAAGGGATGTGGTTGGAAATTGCCGTTTGCACCTTTCAAAATGTTATGTTTCTCCATTCTCTGAATGTTTGCACAGTCTGTTTGTTATTGTGGGGACAGGGGATGTTTTGTAAATCCAAGATGGTGGGCAATTCAACGATTAGACGATCGCCTTGGATTATGTTGATAATTAGCCCTCCTGTAAGGGATAGTGTTGGAGTCTAACTAACAAGGTCCAATTTCATTACAGCAATGATGGACCGCCAAATAATACAGAGGTTGCTCAGGTGGCGGACTCTTTGGTGAATAATCCTGGGTTTGGGACTCGCTGTATGGCCAACAACCCGATACCGTGAGTATGACCAGTGGCCATTTTAACACACCTGTCCCTCAATCCACATATTATTACTAAATATGTTTTGTTCACAGTGTTTCTCCTGTTTCAAATGTTCTTGCACAGCATGACAATAACTACATTGTCCACGAAGTACTCCAAGTTCAGCCAGCCAAAGTACCTGGCTATTTTGATTAGTGGAGAAGGGTGCAAAGCATAATAATGTAATAAAATGTGATGTGCAATTGATTAAGTGGTTAGTAGTTGGTTGGAGTATGCCACCTAGGCCCAAACTGTCCTCTAGCTAGCCCATATCCCCCTGCATTTGTTGAGATTCTAAAGGATTGGATACCCTCTGACATGCTTGGTGGAAATCTTCCAACATTGTTTACTTGTCATTCTTTCAGATCTCCACAAGTGCATTTAGGGTAGGGGCTAAGGGTCGATATGGAATTGGGCAAACACCTCCCCATTGGCACATCGTTTACCTCAATAAGTCAATATAAATGTTGTTTTGAACAAATCTAAAGCTGAAGCTGGTCGATTTGGAATTGGGTACACATATGCCCCATTGGCATGTTGTTATAAAAATGTTGTTTTGACCAAATCTGAAGTTGAGTATCTCATGGAGGATAATTCTTTGAGAGACTAAGTTTAGTTTTATTCTTACATGTTCTAACACAATATCCATCTGGTAAAGTAAATCATTGACTTAATCCAACCATGGAATAATATTCTTCAAATATGAACTGCATACGACTAAAGGCATTTACAATGTATCGTGTAAACATTAATACAAATAATACATTATTCACTGCATCATTCTAACTTTTATACCACCATTTATTTTATATTCATGCATTTGTTCTGGGGTTCCCGGAGATGAATGTTATTGGTATTGTGTAGATTTGCCTTGTCTTACGGTTAGGGGTTGGAATAATGTTGACAATAGTAAGTACCCCTGATATCCCATATCCGCTCCATCTCCTCTCTGTCAAGCCTGATCAGTTTCAACATGCTTTATCAAGCTGTTCTGCTTCCCTAATTCTTCAGCTGCTTATTGAAACATGCTACATTACCTCCATGTTTTAGATAAGGAGACTTGTATGGTGTAGCTGTGTTGATAATGTGATTTAGTATCGATGTTTAGAATGAGCTAGACCTAAACAGGTATTAAATGAGAATGGCATGTCTTAATGAGGATAACTGCTGAGAATTCCTTTGCCGAAGCACAATATTTCCTATTCTGATGTATTCTTTATTGAATCATGTTGGTTTCTTATGAAGCTTAGCAAATGGATTCTCATGTTTCATCATCATCATCATCATCATTATCATCATCATCATCATCCTCCTCATCATTGTTGTTTTTCTCTTTTTCCTCCAGAAATCTCCCATGTGTCCCGAATGATTCTAAGTGGTTCACTCCCACAGTGGATCCTTCTATCAGCGACATCTTCATCAACGGAAACTGGAGCATGGCCAACCCTTCCCCTAACTGCCAGTGCAGCACTCCTCAGAAGACCACCATGTTGCCAGATTGCCCACCTGGAGCCGGTGGGCTGCCTCCCCCTCAGGTTAGTCCACAATCTGGCAACCCCACGTCTCCCTGTAACATAACGGTTTACAATAGCAATACTAGACCTCTGGCATGAAATGTGTGCTGATCTGGCAACCTGGGTTGGACCTGAATACTTGTGTTAGCTTTCTGAACTAATGCCTAAGCTTTAGCTCTGCCAGCTAACATAGTCTTTTGGCGCTCAAGAGGGCAGGGTTCCAACCCCAGAAAAAATTGGTGCAGTGACCCAGGTGCAGTGAGGAGGTCATCAAAGGGGGGTGAAGTGTAACATAGTTGGTTCAGTGTGTTCTGTCTCTACAGTCCTGCAATGGCAATGTAGGAGTTTGAAGTTGAAGTTATCTTGCCCTCAGATGTTTCTATTGTGAAAGCATGTTTCCTTACTAGGGGTAATACTGATTGAATGCTCTGTCTCCCCTCTATAATATATCCACCTTACCAAGCAATCTAGTCAATCCAACAGGACAATCAATACATTATGACCATTAACCATATTAACTATATTACAAGGGTCAACCAGAGTATTCATATCCAGCACAAAATATATGCCCATATGGGAACATGTATCCAGTGAATTTGAACATTGCTTTATCACATCCATGTTAGTATTGTCTCATGTCTTCCTCAATAGCCTTATGGCTGGACTTAAGACAAAAATGTATGTTGAGATAATGCATCCCACCACTCTTTTTGATGGCATCCCATGAACTCTGGCCTCTCTTAGATCAACTCTTTTAGCCAATCCCTCTTGGTGAGTGGGTACAGGTTAGCGCTGAGCTTGCTGATGTCCACCCCCTCCCCTAAAACGTCCAAGACCTGGGCTTTGTCTGTCTCCTGAAAATCAATGGCAATGTTTTATAAGCTATTACCCTAACATACATGGCCAAATGCAGGAGGGCAAATGTTCCTGAGCTGACCCCCGGAGTCTTAATCCTGGCTGGGATCAATGAGGTGGGAGGTCCCCATGGTCACCGGGCTTTGGGCTCTTTCCCCCTAGAACCATTACATGGCCTAAATGGATCACTCCAATCATACACTGTAAAACCGGATAAGTCCTGGGACTTAAATAGCTGAAGTGAGCTGTACTTCCTTCATATGAGTAATACAAATGATATATTTTTTTCAACTCTAAATAAACACTAGTTAAATTAAATCAATATGGTTAAGTGAACATGACAATCTTTTTAAAGTTAAAGTCACTTAATAAGTATATACAGTGAGGGAAAAAAGTATTTGATCCCCTGCTGATTTTGTACGTTTGCCCACTGACAAAGACATGATCAGTCTATAATTTTAATGGTAGGTTTATTTGAACAGTGAGAGACAGAATAACAACAACAAAAATCCAGAAAAAACGCATGTCAAAAATGTTATAAATTGATTTGCATTTTAATGAGAAAAATAAGTATTTGACCACTCTGCAAAATATGACTTAGTACTTGGTGGCAAAACCCTTGTTGGCAATCACAGAGGTCAGACGTTTCTTGTAGTTGGCCACCAGGTTTGCACACATCTCAGGAGGGATTTTGTCCCACTCATCTTTGCAGATCTTCTCCAAGTCATGAAGGTTTCGAGCCTGACGTTTGGCAACTCAAACCTTCAGCTCCCTCCACATATTTTCTATGGGATTAAGGTCTGGAGACTGACTAGGCCACGCCAGGACCTTAATGTGCTTCTTCTTGAGCCACTCCTTTGTTGCCTTGGCTGTGTGTTTTGGGTCATTGTCATGCTGGAATACCCATCCACAACCCATTTTCAATGCCCTGGCTGAGGGAAGGAGGTTCTCACCCAAGATTTGACGATACATAGCCACGTCCATCGTCCCTTTGATGCGGTGAAGTTGTCCTGTCCCCTTAGCAGAAAAACAGCCCCAAAGCATAATGTTTTCACCTCCATGTTTGACGGTGGGGATGGTGTTCTTGGGGTCATAGGCAGCATTCCTCCTCCTCCAAACACGGCGAGTTGAGTTGATGCCAAAGAGCTCGATTTTGGTCTCATCTGACCACAACACTTTCACCCAGTTCTCCTCTGAATCATTCAGATGTTCATTGGCAAACTTCAGACGGGCCTGTATATGTGCTTTCTTGAGCAGGGAGACCTTGCGGGCGCTGCAGGATTTCAGTCCTTCACGGCGTAGTGTGTTACCAATTGTTTTCTTGGTGGCTATGGTCCCAGCTGCCTTGAGATCATTGACAAGATCCTCCCGTGCAGTTCTGGGCTGATTCCTCACCGTTCTCATGATCATTGCAACTCCACGAGGTGAGATCTTGCATGGAGCCCCAGGCTGAGGGAGATTGACAGTTATTTTGTGTTTCTTCCATTTGCGAATAATCGCACCAACTGTTGTCACCTTCTCACCAAGCTGCTTGGCGATGGTCTTGTAGCCCATTCCAGCCTTGTGTAGGTCTACAATCTTTTCCCTGACATCATTGGATAGCTCTTTGGTCTTGGCCATGGTGGAGAGTTTGGAATCAGATTGATTGATTGCTTCTGTGGACAGGTGTCTTTTATACAGGTAACAAACTGAGATTAGGAGCACTCCCTTTAAGAGTGTGCTCCTAATCTCAGCTCGTTACCTATATAAAAGACACCTGGGAGCCAGAAAAATCTTTCTGATTGAGAGGGGGTCAAATACTTATTTCCCTCATTAAAATGCAAATCAATTTAATACATTTTTGACAAGCATTTTTCTGGATTTCTTTGTTGTTATTCTGTCTCTCACTGTTCAAATAAACCTACCATTAAGATTATAGACTGATAATTTCTTTGTCAGTGGGCAAACGTACAAAATCAGTAGGGGATCAAATACTTTTGCAATCAGTGTCGGTCAGTGACGTTTAAGATGAGGGAGGATGATAATCTTATTTCTGTTACAGCATATTGGATGACTGTCATTCATATTCCATTCACCCAGCTCAATGTAACATCAATAGGTTTAGGCTACTACATGATACTCACATGTTCCCTATACCCATCATGAGGTTGCTACAACCTAACCTATGAATGAAAGTTTTCAAAGTAAGTGCACAGGTTAAGAGAAAAATGTGAGTAATCATGGTGACAGACAGTGACACATTCAGTACTTCCTTGCACACTCTTGCCTGCATCTAGTTGATTTAGGGTGTAATCATTAGTCCAACAGTTGCAAACGAGAGTTTCAATTGTCAAATTCAGGTATGTATATCCCCGCTCCGTTTGCTTCCATTTAAGAAACGTTTTTCAACAGAATTGGTGGAATGAATACACACCTGATCACACGCAAACACAATTCACTTTCATAGCAGCTCCATACAAACAGCATGATCATTTTGCTCGTTGTATAATTCCTTCTCGCATCTACGCGCTGTCCTCCTCTCACCTTTTCCCTATGCTTGTGTTCTTCAGTGCACAACACATCAGCTGTCTGTGACCAGGTGAAAAAAACCATGCCAAACCTTCATATCATAACCGCTACACACCGCTTACATTGTTGTCACGATATTAGCTAACGTCATAGTCAACATAGCTACTAGAACTAACACGTTAGTGGCGCAGCGGTCTAAGGCACTGCATCTCAGTGCTAGAGGCGTCACTACAGACCCTGGTTCGATTCCAGGCTGTATCACAATCCGGCCGTGATTGGGAGTCCCATAGGGTGGCGCACAATAGGTCCAGCGTCGTCCGGATTTGGCCGGGGTAGGCCGTCATTGTAAATAAGAATTTGTTCTTAACTGACTTGCCTAGTTAAATTAAGGTTAAATAAAATGAATTTTTAAAAAAACGCTACAATCATGCAGTACAGTGTACAGTCAGCAAGCAGTTTAGCAGTTACACTGGCGGGCCCCGGTGGCAATAAATTAATAAAACCAAAAGCTTACCTTGACTTGGAAGAGTTCCAGAGTTGGACAGCCATAGCCAGCTAGCTAACATAGCATCCCTCTCTGCTTGAGCCGGGTGTTTGAGTAGGAATAACTAGCTAGCTGCATTCTCTAGCTACTGTAAGTGAAAGTGAAAAAAATACAACAAAATATAGCTAGCTCTTTCTCTCTCACTTACTCGCTCTTGCTTCTCCTTCAATTTGAAATAAATTAATTTGTTCAAAACTGTTCAGGTATTGTCTTTCTCTTTGAGTTAACTACTCACCTCATTTTATGCAGTGCAGTGTAGAAAGATAATTACTAGAATGGACAAAGCTCCTCAGACCATTTCAATTTGACTGGATAGACGGAAGCAGTCATCGTGTGGGTCATCAGTCCACTCAATATGGCCGCTGGTCCCCTCAATCACAGAACATTGACTTGAATGGGAAATGCCATTCTATGGCTCCTAAACCTTGAATGGTAATGAAAAAGCTAGACTTTGATGGACAGGTGCATTTTAACTTTTATTGGAAACGTCTTTTGGTGTTGACTCAAGGTTTGTTCTCTGCCAGTGCATTCTGGGTTATTATTTGAGGTATGTGAGATGAGAGAGAGTCTGAGTGAGCCAAGTGATCTTGGTAACATATCATTCATAAAGATGGTAGATTAAAGTCCATTACAGGACTAGAGGGAAATCATTTATGTGTGCATACATAATGCTTTTTGTTACATGCTAGGGTGGTTCATGCTTGGCTCGTTGACAATCATTCATGTCTTGACATGAGCTGTTTCTATTCTACAGGGTTTCAGGAAATAAAACGTTTTCTAAGAAAATATGTTGCACTCCAGCAAAAGGTTTAATTGAAATGACAAAAAGTAAAAGTGAATACATTTTTATAATGAACTCATGATCTAAATCAACCCCGGTTATAGAGCACACAAGAAGTTATAATAATCTATAAAGTTTTGGCGCAAATGATCAAAACCACTGAAAGTCAGGCAAAGTTTATTATACAGTACCCAGTGGTTTGATTGACTGATTATTTTCCTTTTTTTCTTGTTGTCTTGGCAACATGTAAATAGAAAGTCAATATCCCACATTTACATACAAAAACTAAAACCAGTCCTTCGAGTCATGCTTTTCAAGACACAAACATCTACGAATCCCAATTCTCTGGATGGGGTTGTCATGACATTCACTGTTTTGATTTTGGGGCTTTGTATTGACAGCCACATCGTTTTTCTTCCCTTTGACAAAATAGACAGGTGGTATTTCTGTCTATCAACTCCTTGTTTGATGTGTCTGTCGATATCCCAGCTGGGAGATATCTGTGGACTCTCCTTGAGACAGAGGACAAACACACTACTGGTGAGGAGGCTCTGGCGGTTGATTTGATAGGTGATCGACAGAGTTAGTCACCCGCCTGAATGGTACATTCAACAGTTGATCAAAGATCAAAATAGAAAAAAGGGTGATAAATCAAATACGGTGGATGTATAAATTGACATTCTTGTCAGAGAAGATGTTAGGAGTGACACTTTATGCCTGCAGCGCTAAGCGAAGGTGTGATGCCTTTTGACATGTATTTGCAGACAGTGTTTCGACTTGCACAGACAGTTTGTGAAAAGTTCCTCCGTTTTCCCCCCTACTTTACCCCTTCCTTTACCCCCTCCTGTTCTTAGAGGAAGTTGAATGTCTAAGAGGTGGATATAGTACTGACACAGTTTCCAAACAAGTATCCAAAAGCACTGTCTTACAAATCTGAGATAATTTGGTTCTGTGAAGCTTGTGAGGGAGATGACAGTTTTTTTCTGCTTGGTGTCATGTTCTGAAGTACAGATGTAGGATCTTAATTTGATCACCCTGTTGCAGGACAACTTAGTGTAATTGAGGTTTAAAAAGGCTTCTGAAGTTTGTAATTTCCACTTTTAAAATGTCAGACTTGATTTCCCCTTGTATCAAATGTATGAACTCCTACAAAAATGTCCATTAATTATAATCCACATAATAATTCACATTTCCTCATGCTGCATTTTCCTGCTGTAGCAAACTGGCTCGAATTAAGACCCTACATCTCAATCACATAAACTTGGAATGAATATTTATGTCTGACTGAAAAGCCTTTGAATATTTTTCTAAGATTGCTAATTGGGTGTGTTTGACCAAATTTTTGGCAAAGAGGAACTGTTGGATTTTCAGAAGAAAAAACAAGCAACTCTTACACACACACACACACACACACAAGAGAGGCTGGAAGTAGCACATAGTAGACCACAGAGCAGGGCCCCGGAAGCAGGTTAGAGGTTAAATGCCTTGCTTAAAGGTCCATTGCCAATAGGTGGCACCTGAGATTCTGATATTAGCAACCCACACTGCCCAACCTGTGTGTTTGTGCGTGCGTGGGTGTGAATGCCTGTGCGTATGTGTGTTAGTGTGTATACATTTGTGTGTGCTGAGTCCTCTCAGACAGACAGTAAGAGGCCCTTGAAAGCCAATGACTTCCCCTGACCGGAGCCCATGCTGTTTGGTGAAAATACCCTATTTAAAGAAGCTCGGCTCATCCCCAGTCCTCATCTCTTCCCCCATCCTTCCGTCCTTCCAAGAGCTCATTTATAGCGATGGACTATCACAAGACGTTCGCCCTTGACGGATATATAATGCCTCATTGAGCTTGTGCGAGCCTCGCTGTGTGCCCCCCCCCCCCCCCCCCCCCCCATCCTGTGACAAAGCAGGGCCTATTTGAAGTGGGGGTTGGAAAACGGGTATTATGGGATATGGATGGTTGTCGAGACAGTCGGACAAAAGGAGTACCCTTTGTGTGGCCTTTCTTATTCTGACACATGGATGTTTCCGGATCTCGACGAGGTTGTCAAGGTGTCTTTTTAAAAGGTGCTGTTGGATACATGAGTCTCTCTCTCTCTCTCAATTTTTTTTGTGTGCCACTCCTCCCTTCACATGGTGTTCAGACAGAGGCATTCAATGGTATTTGGGGGATGTTGGACCATATGATCCATGCCTTTAATGAGCATGGAATGTTAATGCTACGTGTAGGCCTGTTTAACAAGTCATAACATCAATGATGAATGTTACATTTCCTACCAGCAAGACGTGAGACATCTACTCCATTCTCCTCTAGCAGAGGTAAATGACCCATCAGTTGTATGACACTAGAATGCTTTCATTGTGATTTGTTGCATACTGTCCAAAACAGCAGTACTATTGGAACATACAGTATTTTACCCTCAGATCTTGTACATCATTCTGAAGGAAGTTAACATTCCACACTATCTGGCATGCCCTTGTGAGTTCAGAGGAATAAGCTATACTACTCTTCAGATATGGGAGACACAGGTACAGACATGAAACATATAAAGATAGATGCACTTGTCGTGGGATGAATCCCACTCCTGCACACACCTGTACACACACACACACACACACAGGCACATGCACACACTGCACACACTCAGGCAATGAGCACATACGCAGACACACACACATAAAGGCACATACACAAACAAAGCACACTGCGTAGGCACACACACACACACAAACACACACACACACACAACACACACACACACAACACACACACACACCAACTCAGTGTTCATTTATCAAACAATGAATGCTATAGATCTTACCTGTGTGCTGTAGTCTTGAAAGGGGGGGGGGGTTGAATTGATGTGTATCTCAGGCTGACCCACCAACAGAAACCCAGAACATCGAGAGAATATATTCCCTTTGAACTCAAAAAATTGTGTACAGGATTCAAAGTAGATTTATTTTATTTTATCCCTGCTATCCTCCCAATATGCCCTTGAAAAACTGCAGAAAGGAAAGGAAGAGTGAGAGAGAATAAAACAGGCCCACACAGACACAGAAGCTAGTGTGAAATTGTTGTTTCCATGGAAATGGCATGCAACGGTAAGCCTATTATCAATTCTCAGGTATTGACTCTCATTGGCGATATTTAACCTTCACAGATGAAAAGGCCTCCATTCATGCAAAGGAATTGATCAAGCCGCCGTGCTCTGGGTGTTACAATTGATGTCTTTATCATCAGGAGACCGCTGTAACTACAGCCTGTTTGCAAATGATTCTCCTCAGCTACTGTCGCATAGCCTTGCCACCATTATCTTTCAAATAAATCATTGAAGTTGTGCATATTTTCTTCATTCACCACTTATGTGAGTAGAGTAGAGTTCTTGAAAATGCTTATATCCCAATCCAATTAAATATGCTTTAGGAAGCCTTCAAAAACAACCCTTTATATAATAATAATATATGCCATTTAACAGACACTTTTATCCAAAGTGACTTAGTCATGCGTGCATACATTTTACATACAGTGCCTTGCGAAAGTATTTACCCCACCTTGGCATTTTTCCTATTTTGTTGCCTTACAACCTGGAATTATAATGGATTTTTTGGGGGTTTGTATAATTTGCTTTACACAACATGCCTACCACTTTGAATGTGCAAAATATTTTTTTGGGGGAAACAAACAAGAAATAAGACAAAAAAACAGAAAACTTGAGCGTGCATAACTATTCCCTCCCCAAAGTCAATACTTTGTAGAGCCACCTTTTGCAGAAATTACTGCTGCAAGTCTCTTGGGGTATGTCTCTATAAGCTTGGCACTTCTAGCCACTGGGATTTTTGCCCATTCTTCAAGGCAAAACTGCTCCAACTCCTTCAAGTTGGATGGGTTCTTCTGGTGTACAGCAATCTTTAAGTCGTGGTCCTCTGTAGCTCAACTGGTAGAGCACGGCGCTTGTAACGCCAAGGTAGTGGGTTCGATCCCCGGGACCACCCATACACAAAAAAAAATGTATGCACGCATGACTGTAAGTCGCTTTGGATAAAAGCGTCTGCTAAATGGCATATTATTTATTATTATTATACCACAGATTCTCAATTGGATTGAGGTCTGGGCTTTGACTTGGCCATTCCAAGACATTTAAATGTTTTCCCTTAAACCACTCGAGTGTTGCTTTAGCAGTATGCTTGGGGTCATTGTCCTGCTGGAAGTTGAACCTCCGTCCCAGTCTCAAATCTCTGGAAGACTGAAACAGGTTTCCCTCAAGAATTTCCCTGTATTTAGCGCCATCCATCATTCCTTCAATTCTGACCAGTTTCCCAGTCCCTGCCGATGAAAAACATCCCCACAGCATGATGCTGCCACCACCATGCTTCACTGTGGGGATGGTGTTCTCGGGGTGATGAGAGGTGTTGGGTTTGCACCAGACATAATGTTTTCCTTGATGGCCAAAAAGCTCAATTTTAGTCTCATCTGACCAGAGTACCTTCTTCCATATGTTTGGGGAGTCTCCCACATGCCTTTTGGCGAACACAAAACGTGTTTTTCTTATTGTTTTCTTAAAGCAATGGCTTTTTTCTGGCCGCTCTTCCGTAAAGCCCAGCTCTGTGGAGTGTACGGCTTAAAGTGGTCCTATGGACAGATACTCCAATCTCCGCTGTGGAGCTTTGCAGCTCCTTCAGGGTTATCTTTGGTCTCTTTGTTGCCTCTGATTAATGCCCTCCTTACCTGGTCTGTGAGTTTTGGTGGGTGGCCCTCTCTTGGTAGGTTTGTTGTGGTGCCATATTCTTTCCATTTTCTTATAATGGATTTAATGGTGCTCCGTGGGATGTTCAAAGTTTCTGATATTTTTTTATAACACAACCGTGATCTGTACTTCTTCACAACTTTGTCCCTGATCTGTTTGGAGAGCTCCTTGGTCTTCATGGTGCTGCTTGCTTGGTGGTGTTGCAGACTCTGGGGCCTTTCAGAGGTGTATATATACTGAGATCATGTGACAGATCATGTGACACTTAAATAAAGTCCACCTGTGTGCAATCTAACTAATGATGTGACTTATGAAGGTAATTGGTTGCACCAGATCTTATTTAGGGGCTTCATAGCAAAGGGGGTGAATACATATCCACGCACCACTTTCCCGTTATTTATTTTTTAGAATTTTTTGAAACAAGTTTTTTTTTTCATTTCACTTCACCAATTTTGACTATTTTGTGTATGTCCATTACATGAAATCCAAATAAAAATCAATTTAAATTACAGGTTGTAATGCAACAAAATAGGAAAAACGCTAAAGGGGATGAATACTTTTGCAAGGCACTGTATGGGTGGTTCCTGGAATCGAAACCACTAGACAATCCCTTGCACAAACTCTTTTGAATGAATGAAGCACCCTTAGTGCACAAAACATTAGCACAGCCAGATATATTGAAAACAAGGCCTTAAAACTTCCACTGATACTGATTTACTCCTGTTTTCTAATTGGCCAGAGAGTCCACTGGGTCGTGTTCAGGTCACATCGTAGCAAAACATTTTGCAATGGAAAACTAAAATCTGTGTCCTAATTGAACAAGTTTAAGGACAACCCTCCCTGTTTCAACTTGCACTTTGCTTTTTTGTATTTCTTCTTCAGAGTGTTGTCCTGGCATCAACATGACCAATTCCCATTGTATTATCTTAACAATATGAATCAGAATTCAGCTTATTGGGAACGGAACTCCCCATTGACCAGCCTAAGCTGCTCTTTGACGTAAAAAAATCTGAAAATGAGCAACACAATGTACTGCCAAGTCCTGCAACCTGGATTCAAGTAGAGAGAACAAACCATTTGGGTTGGCCACATATTTGTTTCAAGAGGCTACTGTTGATGTTTCATTTTGGCTTCCACCCCCAATATCCATTTTAGTGTTAAATGACCTGTCCGAAACGATTCGTTCAACAAGGAAAGGCATCTTGGAAAACAAAAGTGAAAAGGTTGTGAGGTCGCGAGATGAGGCAGATGGTGGAATGAGGCCCTGTAATTTGTTTCTGTTTTTTTGGAAGTAAAACTGGGCCCTGCGCTGATAGTATATCTACAGTGTTGACTTGTAAAGATGGTGATGTCTCTGCCAAACACAGGGGAAAACACCCCAGCAGCTTATGTTTGTGTTATTTTGAACATAGCCTTATGTTGGAGGTTGTTCCACACAGCAAGGTGAGGTGTTGTCATCAGATTTTCTTCAAACCAAAGTCTGTTGTGCGGTGTGTGAGCAAAGGTATTCAAAACATGCAAGTAAGCACACAAACATATCCACTTGCTGCTGCAAGTATACCGACATTCCTTGTCATTTCCAGCCAACAAGATAAGATTTGAGTCGTAATCCATCACTTTAGTTCCCAGTATTTACAAATAACTTACTAGCAGTTACTTTGCCAAGACTCAGCTCCACAAACAAGACAGGTGCAGCACTTTTGACAGGAAATTATAATTACAAGTCGTGCCTTTCTGGAATTGGAATTGTATGTTGGGTTTTTAAAAACATAAGAAAACACAATTGATTTGATCATAATTGAGCATTTCTGAGGGAATCAACAAACTACAGTAGATGAGACAAACTCTGCCTAGGCCTCCTTAGCTACATACAGCAGATGGCACACATAGTTTAAAGCAGAACTCTACATCCCGACGATTGCGTTTCGTTGCTGTCTGGTGAAAACCTCTTATCTCCAAAACAGAAACCTTTCAGGAAATTACCATATTTCCCCATTAACGAACACACAAATAGGACACTTCAGAAGCTATTTTGAATCCATTTTCTTGTTCTTGGAGTCATGAAATGTTCAGAGTACATTCAGGGGAGTTAATGCTTTCAGTAATTAAAATAAAAAATGCAAATTGGCAAAAATGGAGTTAAAAGGTTTTCATCAGACAGCAATGATTTGTTTGTGCCAGGTAAAATTGGACGTTGGTCTTTGAGGTTTGCAACAGGTGGTTCACGTAGTTTTAAGCAGAACTCTACATCCCGAAGATTGCATTTGTTTGTGCCAGGTAGAATTGGTAGTTGGCCTTTGAGGTTTCCCAAGATACAGACTATATGCAGAGATGAATAAGAACACTGCCTCCTCTCTTAATGTCTCTCTGACACTGCAGCGTGTCAGCTCATTCCCCAGGTTTGATTACTCTGAGTTTACATATGCCTCTCCTGTTATCCTCTCCTGTGTCATCAACCTGCCGTCATGTGGTCGAGAGCGACAGACGCGTGTGTAATGAGAGATGTCATGTGTAGGAAGTGCGGGTAAATAGTTGGGATATATAAGATGTAGATGGCCAATATACCTTAAAATGACTTGTGCGGTCGAGAGCGGCATACGTGCGTGGAATGAGTGATGTGAATGACAAGTGTAGAGAGAGAATTCCACGTAGAGTAAATAATCTGGATCAGAAGTGGCTGGTGGGAGGAGATACAGTGGGGGAAAAAAGTATTTAGTCAAACCAGCAATTGGTGCAATTCCCAAGTAAAACATGAGAGATGACAGTAGGGAGGCTATATATACAGGGGGGTACCGTTGCAGAGTCAATGTGCGGGGGCACCGGCTAGTTGAGGTAGTTGAGGTAATATGTACATGTGGGTAGAGTTTAAGTGACTATGCATAAATACTTACTTAACAGAGTAGCAGCAGCGTAAAAAGGATGGGGTGGGGGGGGCAGTGCAAATAGTCCGGGTAGCCATGATTAGCTGTTCAGGAGTCTTATGGCTTGGGGGTAGAAGCTGTTGAGAAGTCTTTTGGACCTAGACTTGGCACTCCGGTACCGCTTGCCGTGCGGTAGCAGAGAGAACAGTCTATGACTAGGGTGGCTGGAGTCTTTGACAATTTTGAGGGCCTTCCTCTGACACCGCCTGGTATAGAGGTCCTGGATGGCAGGGAGCTTTGCCCCAGTGATGTACTGGGCCGTACGCACTACCCTCTGTAGTGCCTTGCGGTCAGAGGCCAAGCAGTTGCCATACCAGGCGGTGATGCAACCAGTCAGGATGCTCTCGATGGTGCAGCTGTAGAATTTTTTGAGGATCTGAGGACCCATGCCAAATCTTTTTAGTCTCCTGAGGGGGAATAGGCTTTGTCGTGCCCTCTTCACGACTGTCTTGGTGTGTTTGGACCATGATAGTTCGTTGGTGATGTGGACACCAAGGAACTTGAAGCTCTCAACCTGTTCCACTACAGCCCCGTCGATGAGAATGGGGGCGTGCTCAGTCCTCTTTTTTTTCCTGTAGTCCACAATCATCTCCTTTGTCTTGGTCACGTTGAGGGAGAGGTTGTTGTCCTGGCACCACACGGCCAGATCTCTGACCTCCTCCCTATAGGCTGTCTCATCGTTGTCGGTGATCAGGCCTACCACTGTTGTGTCGTCGGCAAACTTAATGATGGTGTTGGAGTCGTGCCTGGCCATGCAGTCATGGGTGAACAGAGAGTACAGGAGGGGACTGAGCACGCACCCCTGAGGGGCCCCCGTGTTGAGGATCAGTGTGGCAGATGTGTTGTTACCTACCCTTACCACCTGGGGGCGGCCCGTCAGGAAGTCCAGGATCCAGTTGCAGAGGGAGGTGTTTAGTCCCAGGATCCTTAGCTTAGTGATGAGCTTAGAGGGCACTAGTCAACCAGCAATTGTGCAAGTTCTCCCACATAAAAAGATGAGAGAGGCCTGTAATTTTCATCATAGGTACACGTCAACTATGACAGACAAATTGAGGAAAAAAAATCCAGAAAATCACATTGTAGGATTTTTAATGAATTTATTTGCAAATTATGGTGGAAAATAAGTATTTGGTCACCTACAAACAAGCAAGATTTCTGGCTCTCACAGACCTGTAACTTCTTCTTTAAGAGGCTCCTCTGTCCTCCACTCGTTACCTGTATTAATGGCACCTGTTTGAACTTGTTATCAGTATAAAAGACACATGTCCACAACCTCAAACAGTCACACTCCAAACTCCACTATGGCCAAGACCAAAGAGCTGTCAAAGGACACCAGAAACAAAATTGTAGACCTGCACCAGGCTGGGAAGACTGAATCTGCAATAGGTAAGCAGCTTGGTTTGAAGAAATCAACTGTGGGAGCAATTATTAGGAATTGGAAGACATACAAGACCACTGATAATCTCCTTCGATCTGGGGCTCCACGCAAGATCTCACCCCATGGGGTCAAAATGATCACAAGAACGGTGAGCAAAAATCCCAGAACCACACGGGGGGACCTAGTGAATGACCTGCAGAGAGCTGGGACCAAAGTAACAAAGCCTACCATCAGTAACACACTACGCCGCCAGGGACTCAAATCCTGCAGTGCCAGACGTGTCCCCCTGCTTAAGCCAGTACATGTCCAGGCCCGTCTGAAGTTTGCTAAAGTGCATTTGGATGATGCAGAAGAGGATTGGGAGAATGTCATATGGTCAGATGAAACCAAAATATAACTTTTTGGTAAAAACTCAACTCGTCGTGTTTGGAGGACAAAGAATGCTGAGTTGCATCCAAAGAACACCATACCTACTGTGAAGCATGGGGGTGGAAACTTCATGCTTTGGGGCTGTTTTTCTGCAAAGGGACCAGGACGACTGATCCGTGTAAAGGAAAGAATGAATGGGGCCATGTATCGTGAGATTTTGAGTGAAAACCTCCTTCCATCAGCAAGGGCATTGAAGATGAAATGTGGCTGGGTCTTTCAGCATGAAAATGATCCCAAACACACGAAGGAGTGGCTTCGTAAGAAGCATTTCAAGGTCCTGGAGTGGCCTAGCCAGTCTCCAGATCTCAACCCCATAGAAAATCTTTGGAGGGAGTTGAAAGTCTGTGTTGCCCAGCGACAGCCCCAAAACATCACTCCTCTAGAGGAGATCTGCATGGAGGAATGGGCCAAAATAACAGCAACAGTGTGTGAAAACCTTGTGAAGACTTACAGAAAACTTTTGACCTGTGTCATTGCCAACAAAGGGTATATAACAAAGTATTGAGAAACTTTTGTTATTGACCAAATACTTATTTTCCACCATAATTTGCAAATAAATTCATTAAAAATCCTACAATGTGATTTTCTGGAGAAAAAAAATCTCATTTTGTCTGTCATAGTTGACGTGTACCTATGATGAAAATTACAGGCCTCTCTCATCTTTTTAAGTGGGAGAACTTGCACAATTGGTGGCTGACTAAATACTTTTTTTCCCCACTGTACCTGAGGACATGCTCATTGTAAAGGCTGAAATTGAATAATTGGAAAGGTATCAAATACATCAAACACATGGTTGCTATTTCATTCATTCCATTTCAGCCATTACAATGACGTCCTCTGATATCTATCTACGGAGCTACATAAATAGCTGACACGTACATTGTCCATGTTAGGACACACATTCATGGAATGTTGGAGGAGACCTTACCTTATCTGTGGTTTCGATTGGGGTATGTGGAAATCGGCCAATGCAATTAGACTCATGCTGGCTGTCTGAGCTGTGAGCTCTGTACAGTTAAGTCAACTCTCTATCTGTTTGTTTATGCCTGAGTTCCTGCTGCTTGGAAAGGAGACCCAGATTGTTCAGTGGTAAACCATGTGTTGTGCTATGACTCATCTGCTTCTTCTAGTTACACAACTTCATTCTTGCTTCACTGGTAGAGGAACTAAATTTCCCA